TCTTGCAGATATCGCAGCAGGCCCAGGCAGTACAGACGAGTGTGCTTGTCACTCATGGAGAACGAATAAGGGCATGCGGCAGTTTTTAAACCCCAGAATGCGGGGCATAAGCCTCCAAGTTGGCTTGGGAAAGCCCTGTACGGGGCTAGTAGGTACACTAATTAATTACTCTATTTACAGGACTAAACTGAAAGAAGCAGAACTAACTATATATAAACAGACAGTTGTTTTCATAGAAACTACAAGCACGTGAAGAGATCATTCTGACTCCGACCATGTGATAAGGAACTGAGGGTGCATCGTCCCACATGGCCTCTTAAAACCTCTCCTGGAACACATAGCAACATAAGATGATCATGTGGGTCAATGGACACTGCTGTTTAAAATCTTCCAGCTCCGGCACATGATGCGCATGCAACACCCACATTTTGAATACATCAAGGGACCATCACTCGAAGAAGAATCCATATTTGCCTTTTATTTCTGTACTACTTTTTGATTTCAAAAGAGCTAACTTAAAAAAATTCAGGAAATTAGTGAGGGAAGTGAATTGGACTGAAGAACTTGTGGATCTAAAGGCAGAGGAGGCCTGGAATTACTTCAAGTCAAAGTTGCAGAAACTATCAGAAGCCTGCATCCCAAGAAAGGGGAAATAATTCATAGGCAGGAGTTGAAGTCCAAGCTGGATGAGCAAGCATCTCAGAGAGGTGATTAAGAAAAAGCAGAAAGCCTACAAGGAGTGGAAGATGGGAGGGATTAGCAAGGAAAGCTATCTTATTGAGGTCAGAACATGTAGGGATAAAATGAGAAAGGCCAAAAGCCATGTAGAGTTGGACCTTGCAAGGGGAATTAAAACCAACAGTAAAAGGTTCTGTAAACATATAAATAAGAAGAAAACAAAGAAAGAAGAAGTGGGACCGCTAAACACGGAGGATGGAGTGGGGGTTAAGGATAATCTAGGCATGGCCCAATATCTAAACAAATCCTTTGCCTCAGTCTTTAATGAGGCTAATGAGGAGCTTAGGGATAATGGTAGCACGACAAATGGGAAGGAGGATATGGAGGTAGATATTACCACATCCAAGGTAGAAGCCAAACTTGAACAGCTTAATGGGACTAAATCGAGGGGCCCAGATACTCTTCATCCAAGAATATTAAAGGAACTAGCACATGAAATTGCAAGCCCATTAGCAAAAATTTTTAATGAATCTGTAAACTCAGGGGTTGTACCGTATGACTGGAGAATTGCTAACATAGTTCCTATTTTTAAGAAAGGGAAAAAAAGTGATCCGGGTAACTACAGGTCTGTTAGTTTGACATCTGTAGTATGCAAGGTCTTAGAAAAAATTTTGAAGGAGAAAGTAGATAAAGACGTTGATGTCAATGGTTATTGGGGCAAAGTACAAGATGGTTTTTACAAAAGGAAGATTGTGTCAAACCAACCCCATCTCCTTCTTTGAGAAGGTAACAGATTTTTTTGACAAAGGGAACGCAGTGGATCTCATTTACTTTGATTTCAGTAAGGCATTTGATACGGTTCCACATGGGGAATGATTAGCTAAATTGGAAAAGATGGGGATCAATATGAAAACTGAAAGGTGGATAAGGAATGGTTAAAGGGGAGACTACAATGGGTCCTACTGAAAGGTGAACTGTCAGGCTGGAAGGAGGTTACTAGTGGAGTTCCAGGGATCAGTTTTGGGACCAATCTTATTTAATCTTTTTATTACTGACCTTGGCACAAAAAGAGGGAATGTGCTAATAAAGTTTGTGGATGACAGAAAGCTGGGAGGTATTGCCAACACAGAGGAGGACCGGGATATCATACAGGAAGATCTGGATGACCTTGTAAACTGGAGTAATAGTAATAGGATGAAATTTAATAGTGAAAAGTGCCAGGTCATGCATTTAGGGATTAATAACAAGAATTTTTGTTATAAGCTGGGGATGCATCACTTGGAAGTAACAGAGGAGGAGAATGACCTCGGAGTATTGGTTGATCACAGGATGACTAGGAGCCGCCAATGTGATGTGGCCGTGAAAAAAGCTAATACGGTCTTGGGATGCATCAGGCGAAGTATTTCCAGTAGAGATAAGGAGGTGTTAGCACCATTATACAAGGCACTTGTGAGACCTCATCTGTAATACTGTGTGCAGTTCTGGTCTCCCATGTTTAAGAAAGATGAATTCAAACTGGAACAGGTACAGAGAAGGGCTACTAGGATGATCCGAGGAATGGAAAAACTGTCTTATGAAAGGAGACTCAAAGAGCTTGGCTTGTTTAGCCTAACCAAAAGAAGGGTGAGAGGAGATATGATTGCTCTCTATAAATATATCAGAGGGATAAATACCATGGAGGGAGAAGAATTATTTAAGCTCAGTACCAATGTGGACACAAGAACAAATGGATATAAACTGGCCATCAGGAAGTTTAGACTTGAAATTAGACGAAGGTTTCTAACCATCGGAGGAGTGAAGTTCTGGAACAGCCTTCCAACGCCACCAGTGGGGGTAAAAGACATATCTGGCTTTAAGACTAAGCTTGATAAGTTTATGGAAGGGATGATATGATGGGATAGCCTAATTTGGGCAATTAATTAATTGATCTTCAACTATTAGTGGTAGATATGCCCAATGGCCTGTGATAGGATGTTAGATGGGGTGGAATCTGAGTTACTACAAAGAACTCTTTCCTGGGTGTCTGGCTGGTGAGTCTTGCTCACATGCTCAGAGTTTAGCTGATCGCCATATTTGGGGTTGGGAAAGAATTTTCCTCCAGGGCAGATTGGCAGAGGCCCTTGGGGTTTTTTGCCTTCCTCTGCAGAGTGGGGCACGGGTCACTTGCTGGAGGATTCTCTGCACCTCGAGGTCTTTAAACCACGATTTGAGGACTTCAATAGCTCAGACATAGCTTAGAGGTTTGTTGCAGGAGTGGATGGGTGAGATTCCGTGGCCTGCGTTGTGCAGGAGGTCAGACTAGATGATCATAATGGTCCCTTCTGACCTTAAAGTCTATGATTCTATGATATTTTGATTTCCAGTTAATTTTTATACACACACAAAAATCAAAGTTCAAAAGAAAAAATTAATGGTAATAAAATGAGAGATTTCTCTTTTATATTACATGAAAAGAAGCAAATTACAGTTGTTTATAATTTATTAGTACTGATCATATGTGTGGGCAGTTTTACAATAGTAAACATAATATTGACAAAAGAGCTGGTCTTAATTGTATTTCTAAGTAGCTTTTATTTTCACATTTTAGCACTGCCAAAAAGGTTAGCACTCCCAAAGAGAATTCTATTGTCCCCACCAGATGTACAGGGACAAACAGCAACAGAGAGATCTAGAAAGCACCTCCCGCAGCCTCCCCAAAGTACATTAAATCCCTCCTCAAAACCTACCTCTTCTCTGAGGCCTACACATTCAGATAACATACCTTCCTGCATACCCATGTCTACAACCTACTTAAAGTTATTCTTGGTCTCCCTCAGTGCATGTTGTTGGATTTTGCCTATAATTATAAACTCCTTGATAGATTAAAGGCAGAGGCTTGGCAGATCAGATTTGAAGGTACTTGTGGCCTCATGGAAAGTGACCTGGGAACAAGAGTGAAAGAGGGAAGCAAAGCATAAGGTCAGGTGTGCAGTTTCAGCAGGCAGAGTGAGGAGAACAAAATAGGGCTAGCGAAAAGAGAGCAGAGAAGAAGGGATAGACTAAGTTGCACAGGGCCTTGACCATGCAACAAGAGCTAAGAAGAAATGGAGTTGGCAGTCTCATTCCAGTCCCGAAAGACAAACATCTGCACCCCCCAGAAGCCATCATGGAAATTGACCCTAATTGGAAAACTTGTTGCTGACTTCTGCAGGGACATCAAGAAATGAAAGGGAATGGAGAGTGAACTACCCTCTCAGCAGAAGGGTAACAGCTGAGGTACATTGACAGGGTAGCATAAGAAGTTTGTGCAGTAGAGATTTGGTGTTGTGCCAGTTTCTGGATGGAGGACTTCAGTCTCCAGAGTGCTCAATGTGGCACCTATCATCTGTGGTAAATTCACACTCCAAATCTCTTTAAACATACAACAAGCAGCCTACTAGTGATGTCACATAACATTATGCAGGAAATTAGACAGAAGGGGCTAGATCCCCATCTGGTGTAAACTGATTTAACTCCATTGATGTCAAAAGGAGATACGCTAGTTTAAACCAGCTGAGCCTGTCGCCTAAAGTTTCAAGCTTGGTCACTTGTTCCGTGGAGTGGTACGAGTGAGAAAGTTGCAAAAGAAAATTTGTAGAACGCTCACAAGCTCTTTAAGGTCTGAAATGTAAATACATAGAAAGTCTCCTTAAAATAAGGTGGCATTTGACCCAAGAGATCATAGCTCTTCTTCTGGAGCTACTTGGTTTATTGTGCCAGTGAATACCTGCCATATTAGTCTCTTAAAGCCATAGCAACTCCACTGCACTGTTCCCTCTAAGCTGTGTGCGAGCACACAGATCCTAAACCCCATGCACACAGTGAAACACCGCACGCACAAAAATTTGCACAGAAGCACAACAATTTGCACAGAAGAAATTTTTTGCACACATGGCCTGTCAAAAATTAGAGGGAACATTGCTCCGCTGCCACATTTGTGTAATAAAAATCCTTCAAGAATCTGAGGACATTCAGCTACTGATGTGCTTTCCTCAGATGAAATCTCATCTTTTCAATTTGTATTTTTAGCTTGTTTTGCTAAATTTCGGTAAATTAAAAATACCAGATTTTATACCCCTGCACCCCAACAAATATCTCATGTAAAGAACTGGTTCCCTAGCTGTCTTATCTGCCAGGATCCATTTAGACAGAATTATTTACTGTTGTTTAATCACCTTTGAATAGAGGGTTTCATGACAGAAATATGGGCAGCTCACTAACTATTGCAATGCAAATCACATTGCTGTGATCCTTGCAAAACTGCAGTGGTGGAATTTCCATTTAAGCACATATACAATCACAAATCCAAATCACACAAGAAAAAGTTTATTGAAAAATAAAGTTCTCCCTAGTTCTCTCTACAACACCAAAAACAAAGTGTAGTTCTATGCCATTAAAATACACATTCAGACATTTACATATTTTTAAAGAATCCCATCCTAATGAATTTCAGTAATTTGACAATATGTTACCAGCCATTGCAACTTGTACTATGTGAATCAAACCGCTTGAACCTAATATAGTGGAACACAACCATTCAGAAAAGCAAATAACTAAATTTCAAGAGATAGTTAAAAACAAAAACAAATAATGTGAGCCTGACCCTGAAGTTCTTGTGTACATGTAAATCTCCCACTGACTTCAAAATTTTCTGAGAGAAAAAACAACAGAATTAGGCCCTTCAAAATACTTCATTATAGTTTTTAAATTTTCTTGAATCGCTTTAGAATCTTCCAGGTAACATTTCTGACCCTGGTAATTTCCTTTTCCATTTGACAAATACTACATTTCCTTGTTCCTCCCTGTATTTATTAGGGAGAACAAACCAACGTGGTTACTTTCTTTTATGGTCTCCAGCATCAATAATTACAGCAAAAAATTTGTTAATGAATGCAGCAAATTCATTCCGGGTATAACCCTACTGAAGCTAATGGAGTGGCAGCAGGGATGAATTTGGCCCATGTGTTTTGTGCTCTTATGAGGCTTGATCTCAAGGTGCTGCACACACTGTCCTGATCTTGCAGAGTATTTAACGTTTAGCAAATGGGTAGGCCCAATCAACTCAATGAGGCTATTCACTTGCTTAAGCCATTGCTTTGTTGGATCAGGGCCAGTGTCCAGCACCTTGAAAGACTGAACCCTTGATACACAGCCAGCAGAGGGTTGGAGTGGATTTGGCCCTATGCTTTCTAACAGTGACACCAGAGAGTTAGTACTTCCGGTGTGATGCAAACATCTCCTGTCACAGCAGTCAATGGACACATTGCCATTAACTTCAGTCGGAACAGGAAGGGGTCCATAATATTGCAATGCTGCAACATGCACCCTTATGATCCTAAAGAACTTGTGCAAATGAGTAGCTTTACTCACACGGGCAGTCCAGTTTAATGCTGTTGGACACACACTGTCAGTCTAGACCACCCCTAGTATTAATGTCTCCTGCAGACAGCAGACAGAAAGCCATTACAGATTTTATAGTAAGTGGATTTTTAAAGCAGGTTTTGTGTTTGGCATGTTGAGGTTATTCCAATTTTATTCCAATTTAAAGCAGAGCAAATACTGGGTCTTAACTATTTGACAATGTTACATTAATTAAATTAATGTTGAGTTCTTGAAGGGTTAGAGTGGGTCTGCTGACTCAAAATAGTATTGCGGTTTTTAACAGTATTAACATAAAAGGACTTAAATTAAACTTAAGCCATGTACAAGTATAAATAAGAGGTCTGTGGTGGCTGGCCTGTGTGAAGACATTTATCTCTGTGAGCAAGGCTAGGACTGATAACTCAATGGGAGACAGCCAAGCTTCAGCCATTTGCATTTGCTATACATTTCCTACAGTCTGCACTCATGCTCAGGAGCCAGTTTGCTGATCTTGTTGACACATTCTTATTCTATTAGATAGCATTATACTGAAAAGTTTTAAACAAACTGAAAAAATATTTTTCTATAAAGAAGTTTAAACATATGAAGGAAAAGATTTGTTTCAACAACAGATTTTAAAGCAATATATTTAAATATTGGATTTACAGTAACAGCCATACATTTATATAAAGGCTTCCTGAGCCTTCCCTGTTCTTGTTCTAAGCAGACTGATGCCAATTGAAAATCTCATTGATTGGATCCACCCCAAAGACAGTGGGACAAAGGAGAACTAGAAGTGGATGTAGCTCTGCTAATCAAGAGCTGAAAGTGAAGTGGCTGTGGCCCACATATCAGAGAGCAGGGGCCATGCCAACAAAACTAGTACGTCTGAATAAAATCAGAGCTACAGCAAAATAACTCATCACTCACTTCCCACTTAAAGATTGTCATAGGAGGAGTCTGTCACCTGTGTTTTTACTGAGAAACTGAAACACACCCACAGACCTGGTGAATGGATATTTAAACAAAACTTCAACCTATTTAAAATATTATATGCACATTTTTAAATAAATGAGGTGTCATGGCAGAAAGATGCATCATAGCAGCAGTGAACTATTCAGAACCATTTATGACTGATAGATGCACAAGAAGCCTATCATTGATAAAAGTAATTTAAAATGTGCAACCTTTATCCCATTAGAATCAAACTGTTAATCCTGTTGATCAAACTGTGCCTCCTGTTTATTAAAGGGAGCAGCTGCTTTCTTAATTTGAAGAAAACAGAATGGATGGGGTGGATGCAAAGGCTACCAGTATCTGATCCAGCCTCCTTTCAAGTCCTTTTCACCATTGACTGATGGAAACAGAATCTGGCCCTAAATACACTGTGAGCCAGACATACTTGAGAAAGCAATTTGGGCTTGTATATATTAAAAACACAACTCTAAGCTTCCAAATCATCTATATCACTTGGGTAAGTCAGCCATGTAAAGGGGTAGGGCACACTAGCTGTTATGTTGCACTGTACTATGCATTTTCAAAGTGGAGTACAAGCTAAAGTCCTCACACCACCAGGCTGAGGTACGCAAGCACGCTAAGTATTAAAACTGTACTGTACAGAGGGAAAAGAAACAGGTTAATGACCCGACTTTCCATTTGAAGTCAATGGAAGCTGTGGGGACTAAGAACCTTTGGGAAAAAAAAAATCAGGCAATAAATGACTTACAGAATGACGCAGAAGTCAGTGATGGAGCTGCAACTGGAACCTAGGAGTTCCTAGCCCCCCGTTTCCAAGGTCAGTCCACTAGATCATGCTACTTTCTCACTGAAATTTGATCATAAGCTATTCAAAATCTCCTTTTCCTGCAGGAAAGACAAACATTTCTAAATTGCCAAGAGCCTGCCAGGTGCTGAGTACCCTGAGCTCCCTCTCAATTATGGACTCTAATTGCATAAAGTCAGATAGCCATGAAAAGCAAACGATTGTATTCTGGCTAGTAGTTCCAGCAAATGAACAAAATATTTTCAGGCACCCGGACTCAAGTCTATCTTATAGATCCCCATTACTGAAGTATCTGACTGCCTCACAATCTTTAATGTGTCTCTCCCATTTCCTTGACAAACTCACATTTGGCAATTTTAATAGCTATTTCTGGCTCTTCATTGTCTTCTTGTGGGGCATAGTGGATCTATTTTGCTCCAAGGTCATTAAACAATAGAGCTATGTTTAAATATTGAATCCCAATGCACTACCTTCCCATCAGACCACACATATTCAAAGGGATAGCTCAGTGGTTTGAGCATTGGCCTGCTAAACCCAGGGTTGTGAGTTCAATCCTTGAGGGGGCCATTTGGGGATCAGGGCAAAAATTGGGGATTGGTCCTGCTTTGAGCAGGGGGTTGGACTAGATGACCTCCTGAGGTCCCTTCCAACCCTGATATTCTATGATTCTAACAAAGGATATTACATTTACAATGGGTTTCAGAGTAGCAGCCGTGTTAGTCTGTATTCGCAAAAAGAACAGGAGTACTTGTGGCACCTTAGAGACTCACAAATTTATTAGAGCATAGCTCATGAAAGCTTATGCTCTAATAAATTTGTTAGTTTCTAAGGTGCCACAAGTACTCCTGTTCTTTTACATTTACAATGGTGATTCTTTTATGTCTTTTCCTTCATATTTCTAGACAACTTTCCACTGCTATTTAAAAAACATTTTAGAAGTCACACTTAGTATTTATATAGCAACAAGTCCTTTTTTTAACCCTAAAATCCGTGTTCCATTATACTTGTTCACACAGTGCCCACATTCTAAACATCCATCTAAAAATAAAAAGGCACATAAACATTAAATATTTGCAGAAGTAACTTAAATCTGACATTAAGCAACACACACAACTGTAACTAATAAATTACAAAAAGAGAGAAACAAAAAGACACACAACCATAAAGAAAACTAAGCCAAATATGCCAAAAGCGTATCTAATTATACATGTGCAAATCAACTTGCATATATGAAATAAATGAGGTTTTTATTGGCATTTTTAAACAGTGTATATTTACCAACTTTACCTTTCAAAGGCAAGCCTTTTATGTTAACCGTAATAAATTATGTAAATTCTTTTCTCAAGTTTTCTAATCTCATAGGAATAAGATTTTTCAAAAATCAGGTCACACACAAAAAATACAAAAGTTTAAAACAAAAGAATGTTTTGATTTATGACAGATATGTTTATGAGCTTATAATATGGTTGTTATACTTCAGTTTTGACACACCTGATTTCCATCAATTACTGGTCAGGGTATCCAAAACTAATTCTTGCAAAAAAATGAAGTCTGAAAAAGGAAGTGCGAGTTTCAGTGACAAAGTTACATTAATGAAATCCCATCTTATAACCAATCATTCTTCCACAAAGCCATCATTCAAGTGCAGTATGTGGACTATACATTTATTATTTAAGTAAGAGGGGAAAGACTCAGCTTAATCATGGAGTCTAACAGAAGACTGTGTGTCCACATTTTAGAAAAAATGGGCAACAATTTTAGTGAATGATTCATAATTTCTAAAATAATACCCTATGCATCTGCCTGAGTGCTTACTTGCAGAATGGAGTGTTCAGTTGTTTTACAAGAACCCACTTGCTTATAAATTTAAAGACTATTACCACAGAAAAAAAAACAAAGTATCAGATTTAGTGAATCACTATCCATTTAAATGTTGATAGCAACTTCCGTTTTTTTCTATCCAATAAGTCTTCAAGGCAAGCAAAGCAGAAATTTGAAAACAAAGAATATGCATATGCAGAAAGTTATCTCCCATGATCTAACATGCTTTTCTCTTTCAGAAAATAAAACTGAAGCTGCACATTATAAGAGTACTTTTCCTTTCGAGAAAAGAGTTCAGCATCTTCAAGATTTGGACATAACAAAACAAAGTCCTTGGAAAATGTCTCATATTGGGCAGGACTTTTGAAGGGAACAGCAAAATTCCCAAAATTTTCAGTGGGAGTAGGATGTAGCCCTACTGATTATTCCCGCCCCCGCCCCAGGTCCAAAATTTTTTTTCATTGATTTCTGCTACTGGAAGGAGCTTAATGGTTTTCTCTCTCCCCCTGGCCTTCCTCCAATATACAGTAAAAAAATTCAGTAGCTCAGAAATAAACACAAATACTATAGAGATTATAACTCCCCCTGCTGGGGTAAAGACTGCACTGACAGCACTATATTACTGAATAATACAGTGCATCAGAGATAGCAGTAACAACAAACTAGCAGAAATCCTCTATCCTCAGTTTTTAGAGGCAAAACAAATGGTATTAAGCCATTCAATGGTAAGAAACAAGCAAGTGTATATTTACAGCTTAGTGCTTTTAAAAAAAAAACAACAGCAAATGGTTTCTAATTGTTATGTTACAGTAGGCATGGTGCTTTGGGTTGTTTAAGCACGCTTGCACAAGTCTTTATTGCCAATGTATGATGTGATGTTCCATCTAACTTATTACACTTCTGATTACAGAAACTCAGGTTGCATCACAAAAAGTCAGATTCTGTTGTCACCAATAAGTTAATGCCAGATATAAGGCCCAAACTGGTGCGCATATTTTCTTTAAAGCCTGGGATTCTTCTGGCTGTACTCGTATCATATGTACAGGAATATGGAGAACACCTAAAATGAACTGCTGAGGCACCTCAGATTCCAATTCTAAAAAAAGCCAAGAATCAGAGTTCCCTGGATATTAAAAGCCAATGCAAACAGCATCCATTCTGACTGAGGGAATGCCTGGGACACTCCCCAAAACTGCTCAATTTCTTTTCATACAAAACTATGCCTCATAAGTAACCAGTTATGTTCTATTTTTGCAGAATTATTGCAATTACAGAAGCTTTACTATCATTACATCCCAGTTATTATTGATAAACACTGCTGCCCAGGTTTCTGCCATATATGCTTTCTGGATACTCAATCATTTAGACACCAATTTCTATCTAGTCTGCAGTACTTGTTACATCGTTTAACAATGAAATGGGAGTGTTGAATTAGGGAATTGAAACATACTTGAAATTACACTCAAATTGGAAACTGAACTTCTACGTTTCTGTTAACTTCTCTTGATAATTTGACTGTTTCGGTCGTGTTTCCCTTATTTGGTCTTTGGTAGGTCATGAGAGACTTCAATACTCTCACACGGATAATGAATGATGGTTATAAAAAAATAAGTGAACCTGATATAGTCTAGAGAAAAATATTAAAGTGCCTATACTTTCATTAATGGAGAGACTGGGTAGTGCTTGTTAAATCTTCACAAAGGGGGAAAAAAAATCAAATTGAGGTTTTTCAACTATGACTGGGAAATACCCAAGTTTTAAACCTGCAAGCTATGGTCTTTTTCAAATCCTACTGCAGACTAAGCAATTCATTTCCCTCTAATTTAACGTAATTTTTCCCAGCCACGAACAGTGCTTTCAAACATGTCACCTTGTGCTGCAAAAAAATAGAAATTTACTCTTTAAAAAAAAAAAAGAGATACATGTTACTATTTAAAAAGATTTAGGTTCACTGTTCTAAACAAGTCTGAATTTCAATTCAAACTCTTGGTAATTAACTGTAGTTTTAAAATATATCCCTGGCTCGCCTATTTAAAAAAAGGACTAAGAATCCAGAAAAGCGATCAACAATATTTTTCCTAAGAAGTTTTCCTTCTCTTATAATTGCTCTTTAAAATATCTTCCTCTTTAAAAACAGAGCTTGTTATGAAGACTGTTCACATTCCTATGATACAGAAAATTATAGTTAGTTGATCCTTTCTCCGTCTTGCAGTAATGTTTTAACTACTGTAAGGTATAGCAAACTGAGGATCAAACAATATTGCTCAAATGATGCAGAATACTTTTTGCTTCACACAGTACTTTGAATAGGCAGACTACAACAGAAGCATGGGCAAATTCCAAGGATCACTCTCGAAACAGACCCAGTAAACTGATGATGACAAGTCCATTTTAAAATGGCCGTGTTTTTCCACGGCGGTTCCACACCAGAGTAGGTCACAATCATAATCAGTTCTCAAGCAACAACAGAATTTGTCACACACTGGCAGCCACTGATCCTCACATTCCCAGAGCTGCCTGTTTAGAGTGCTCCAGGTACAGTAGTTGTGATGCCATCGATACCTTGTAGTACGTGAGGATTTAAAAAAGGACTGGGAGCAAGCAGCTATATATTGTTATTTGTGTTACCTTGTGGTTCCAAGTTCTTGTGAAATGCACCATTTTATAGCCATTCAAGCTGCAGCAGCACCCAAAACAGTGCCCCAATAATAAGTGTAGTCCTCTCCCCCACCCACCACGTGCATTTTCCCCCCATTTTTTTACTGGAATGACGTTCAGATTCTTAGCTGACGATGACGGGATGTTTTAACTTGTTAAAAAAATAGAAAAACACTTGTTTCATCCAAAAAACAACCAAAAAAAAGTTTGATGGGTCTGGGAATTTTCTACAAACTGTTCTTGGCAATGATCTCCAAATTGTTACAAAGCATGGAACTTTATTTCTCTTTTCCTTGAGTAGGTGGAAGATTTCAAAGAGCTCCACTGCAAGTGTTCACTTAGAAAAAAATAAAAATCATTTAGATGTTCGTTATGAATCCCTCTTCTCAGAGAATTCCGCTTGGCAGCATTTGCTCGGCCTGCAGCAGACAATTGGACAAAAGTGCAGGAAGTATAAGTAGTTCTCTCAAAACCACTTTGTTCATCCCAAAACTAAAGCAAGGTGCTGCTGCTATAGACAATCTTTGCAAAGTGCAACCTGTCCCTTATTATAGTCCCTGCAGGGGCAGATTCGTTTGTGGTTTGGATGGGATCCCGCACAGCTGAACAGCAAAAGATCGCCTTGAAAAATGCAGTGTTTCTTGCTTTCATCAAAAGATGGGACCACGATATCATTTGCAGATTCAACAGTTTGGCATTCCACGTTATACCTATAAAGCAAGACACACTTGTCTAAGTCACATTCCCATCATTCATTTATAGCAATTCAGGTAAATAATTTTCACTCCTAAGACGATAGCCTTACTATAAAAAGCTCAAAAAAACCTGAACTAGAGCAGTAATTAAATCATACCATGATATTACATCACACAGTTTTCAAGTAAACACTCAGCCAAACAGAAATAGGCTAATATAGATCACATAGTAACTGCTGGGTTATAGAAACAGCCAACGGGCATAAACAGAATATTAGTCATTTTACTTTCCAAGTTTCCAATAATAGCAACCCTTATTCTGCCTATTGGCACTGGAAATTGATCAATATTTATGATGCTAAGTAGCAACATAAAATACTTTCATCCCATTAGGAGTCTGGCTCTGTTCCTACAGAAAGTTAAGCTGGAAATGTTAAGTATTAAAAAACAATAAAGAACTTTCAGACTATGTGAAACTGACAAGCCTCAGAGTCCTGTAGAAATGGGACTGGTTTTGTGATGTGCCTCCCTACCTTTGTATTGCACTGAATTGTGCAGGGATAGGAGAAGCTGAGATTGGTTTGTTTCATGAAGTCTCTAGAACTTTTTGTAAACAGTACATGTAGCAGAATGTATGAGTGTTAAATTGGGAAACAGTCAAGAATGAGGGGAAATGACAATGCAACAGAGAATCAAACAACATTTTTGATCTTGTGGCATGAATTGGAAGACATTCAGTCTAACATTCTTCCTAGAGAGTTTCTTTGACTTTGGCTGCCACTCTAGTTCTCCATTTCTCATTCTCCATCTTATTCTCAGTATGGAATCCATCTGTCTCATTTGCTGCAGCCTTCTTTGGACACGGTACATCATTACTGTACCTCCTTCTACTCAGACTATATTACCTACGAAATGCTCTCAAATCTTTGCTATTTGTCAGATAAAATACTATAACCCAAGATGGGAAAATTTTGTCTGCCGAGTATCTCAATTCTTAATGAAGATTGGACCAAAAAGGTGCAATATTTGCAGTGGACAATTATTCTGAACGAGCAATTGCAGACATCAAATGCTAGTCAGCATGCACAGTTATTTCCTGTAACATAATCCTCTGCGCTCTGATTCTGGTTTAATCCAGAACTGTAAAAAGCTATTCTTCTAATTCATCATTTGACTTCTCCATTGAGGACACATTTTGCTTACATTAAAGATGTATTAGCTTTATATTGCATCTTCCATGCAGACAAAGATCTGTAAGGGAGCAATTTTCCCCTCATTTAAGCACAGTATAGACCAATTTCAGCTGGATAAATACAGTAACAGGGACATTCTGCAGAATTAATTGTATAGAAGAACTGCAATTAAGATTCTCTCCATAAAGTCTCAGTCAGACCAGTGATCGAGAAATAAAAACCTTTGTGTCTCATTACCAATATCCTGAGCCAACCACTGTCATCTTACTTAGTCTATAAAAGTATCAGAAGCATTAACATAAGTGTTTTTTTCATTTGGTTTTTGGCAATACATAATTCAGATGTTGGCCTTTTTCCAATCAATGTGACCAAAAGTTCCTAGTACAGGGTCACATTCTCTACAGAGGGCTTTTCCCATTATATTTTATCATGTGTAATGGGGAGGGGGTGAGTTTGAACTGTCTTACGTCATGTCATACTGATTGGTACCTAATGTATGAAACAGGAAAAGGCTTGGATCAGATTCATTTAGCAGCATTCAGGTGTGTGTGCATAAAATACAGAAAAAGGACAAGTCTACCTATTTTCTGTCTGCAAAGCTGAAGTAGGGTGGTTACCACTGAAAAGTCAGTTGATCACTCAAATACCACTGTGTAGTAACGGTTGGTATTTTCCTACGCTGAGGCCAAGAAATAACTGAGATAGGTTAGATACCACTGTGAATAAATGTTAAGTATTTAAACAATGAGCACATTAAGTGTTTATTTTTAGTCATTCAGGAAAGACAGCTAATTTTCAGAATTCAACAAAAAATGATTCTCTTCACTGTTTGGTCTAGGCACTTCCATATTTTAAGCAACCATAAAGATGGAAGCAAGACAGCCTGTCAACAGGATAAAAAAAAGTTTTACATCTGTGTGGCTCTTTGCAATTTCCAACAGAAGTTGTATAGCTTCAACATTTCTTGAATACATAAAAGGCATGTCTGTGGTAAAATCAGCAGGAAATAGCTAACCTAGACAGCAGACTTCCCATTAGTCATCTGTTGCACTTCAATTTCTGACTACATTTGATTGACATTGTAAAGTGATCATTTTACACACATACATACAGACACCTGAAAGTAATGCTGATTTCCCTAATGCATAAGTGATAAGCATTCTTAATTGACCCTAACTTACCTAATGCGAAAGGGTTTTGGAGCCTACATATTTAGGATACTACTGAGAAAGAGTTTGCAGAAAGGCTAATTGTTAACTGCCAATGAATATGGATGTTTCAGGATTAACCAGAGTTAGAAAGAGCAGTATGAAAAAATATGAAGATAAATACAGCTTTATAAACATTTTTATTTAAAATTGCATGAACAATTGCCTCAAATCAGCTCTTGTATTGTGGAATTTTAATTTGTTTTATATTGCAGAAGTGTTAATTTCATCATTCCACGTTTCACTCTCCCCCAGATAAAATTAGGATTAACATTTAGTGTCTTGCACATAAACTCACTAAAAACAGGAAATTCAATGTTGAAGGGTACAAAGTACTCCTCCTCAACTATACCTACTAAGTGTCCGAGGTGTGGCAAACCTATCCTGGATGGCTACAATCTGGCAACTGTGGCAACTTCAGCCCAGGGGCTTAACTGTAGTGCATGGATTGGCAACCTTTGGCATGCGGCCCGCCAGGGTAAGCCCCTGGTGGGCCGGGCCGGTTTGTTTACCTGCAGAGTCCGCAGGTTTGGCCGATCGCAGCTCCCACAGGTCGCGGTTTGCCGCTCCAGGCCAATGGGGGCTGCGGGAAGCGGCGCGGGCCGAGGGATATGTTGGCCGCTGCTTCCCGCAGCCCCCATTGACCTGGAGCGGCGAACGGTGGCCAGTGGGAGCTGCGATCAGCCGAACCTGTGGACACGGCAGGTAAACAAACCGGCCCGGCCCGCTGGGGGGCTTACCCTGGCAGGCCACGGGCCAAAGGTTGCCGATCCCTGCTGTAGTGCAAACATCCTCACATTTAAGGGCACTCTGCAAAGCAGGCAGGCAGGACAGAGACTGCTGCTCTCCCTCCTAAATGCTGAGCTTCCTGTTGTGAGTATACTGCGGAGTGTGGGGGCAGAGCTGAGCACTGCAGCTGCCTCTTTGCTGCCTCCTCTACTGTAAGCGGCACGGACCAGTGAATCACTGAAGGAGCGCCGACATATTTCTCACCCCATCTTCCACCGTCTGGGGGAGCAGTCACCAAAAAATTGGGGATGAAAGGGGAGCCAGGGAAGGGAAAGGGGAGGAATAGAGAGAGAAGGATTCAGCTGGGTAGAAACTCTATGGCAGAGGTGGCCAAACTTACTGACCCTCTGAGCCGCATACAATAATCTTCAGAAGTTCGAGAGTCAGGAGCACCACCCTGCCACAAGGCAGAAGCCCCGAGATCTCCCCGCCCCAGTCTGGTAGGTGGAGAATGGGGGTAAGGAGTCACACTTTAACAGTAAAAGAGCCACCCTGATCTATGGCATAGGAGAAGGAGGCAGAAAGACAAACATTTGTAGGTGAAAATGTGGAAACAATTGGAGGGAGGGAGGCAGGCAGGCAGACCCCAGCAAAAAGTCATTAACAAATGAGTCAGTTATTATTGTTTATTGGATCATTTTCTTTGTTAAAATGATGGATTTTATGAGCTTGTATTGCTCAGTAAGTAACTGAGCGGTACAAGACAGTACATTTCTGGGGTGCAAGACTGGGATTAGGTATATGTGGGTGTTGCCCCATATATAATTCAAGAGTGGCTGGACATAGCACTCTTATATATGTGGGTGATTTGCATGCTAGAGGCTGGGTTGAGTGTGCAGAGTGGCAGCTCACACAGCAAAATGGGCATAGTGCACACCAGACTGGAGAATTAAGGGGGCACAGCTGTCCTACGATCTGGGGTAATCTAGCTAACTACCCTACAGGGACTAAAAGTTATCAAAAAACCTCTTTAAAATTATTTACAATAAAATTATTTACTAAGAAAAAGCTTTCAAATATTTACAGATTGAAGATCAAGTGAGTAGAGAAGAAGCTCCAGACACTGAAAGTTCTGATGCAGGCCACACAGCGGTAAGAGGCTGTCGATTCACCCTGCTCCTTTTATCCTCAGTACAGAGCACGAGGAGAGCAGGGACAGGTGTGTGGACCAACGGAATCTGCTTGTGAGAATACTCTGGCTCCAGGCACATGGAGCGCTTGTGTACCCAGAGTGGAATTCAAACAGGGACCAGCACTCAAAGAAGAAATACTAAGATTTCTTCAAATGGTTAGAACAGTTTTAAGGCTTAAACTTTTCATTTTAACATACTGTATTTAAATTAGAATTTATATGGCTGTTAATTAACATTTATATTATAAGAGACTATTTTAAGGCAACATATGCAAAGTCACAAATTTAAGATTTATCTTTTCAATTTTAACTCTGCTTTTCTGGAGTTGAGAACTTGACCACTCAACATTACAGCTGCATTAGCACTATTTCCTCCTCCGCCTTTAGATAAGGTACCCAACTATATTTCCATACTCCTCAATACTTACTTCAGTAGATCCTTGTCTTTGTTAAGGTGTTGGAAGAAGGATGGCTCACAGATGAGCTGGTTTTCCTGACAAACTTGTTTACATGATTTTCCAGGTTCAGTAATTTTTACCTGCAGTGCACTTAATGGTGGCCACATCACTTGCCCATGACAGAAATCCTGCAGTGACAAAGTGTACAGTATTACACAGTCTTTGAAAAAACTTTTCTATGGTTAAGAAAATAGCAGTGGTAATTAAAAGCCTAGAAAACTTTTTTTGGCAGCAAGACCATCTTACCTGTATTCGGCTGACAGATTGAGAGTTTTAATAAGGAGAATTATCACAATGGATCTCCTAACAAAAATTTGACACTAGCCAGTACCAGAAGCTTCAGAAGAAAGTGCAAAAAGTGCTGTTCTTCCTCCAAGGAGAAATTTCTTCCTATCTCTAAGTTAGTGGTTGCCTTATGAAGCAGGATGGCTTATGTGTCTCATTTGTAAACATGAGATTTAATATGATCATAGAATCTATTTACTCTTTATCTATACATATCTAATCCATTATTGATTCCCTCTTTGCTTCAGTGATATCTTGTGGCAACAATTTAGTGCTAAACAAGTATTACTGTTAGAATGACACAGATACCACCAGAAAGTCCTGGTAGAGAATGATTCCAAAAGCTGATTATGTATCCCTTATGGAAAAAAGTTCCCAAGTGCATATGTCTGCCCCAGCTTGCTCCTTTCCAAATGCTTAGCCATAGAGTCAGTGACACTTATATAAAAGACTGAGTTTGATATGTTATGTGCTTTCTCTCTAGACCCGAGAACAAGCATTCATAGAGTTTGTTTCTATCTCCCAATGGAGCTACTGGTGACATGACCACCCAGACTAGTACTGACTATGAACAACGTGAACTCTCCTATGTGGTTACTGCAGAGAAAGGAACATCGAGATTTTGTTCTAAGTGCACCTTTTGGCTATTTATTTTATTTCCATTTACAATAAAGAGTGCTCACACACAATTGGCAAAGTACGGAAAGCTTATTTAAAATGACAGGAGTCAAATGTAAATTTTAGTCAGCTCACGTCTTCAGAGAAACCGCAGCTCTAAATACAAACACCGCCCCCTGTTATTGGCTAGTTCTTCAATCTTCCCACTAACTCCCTTTAAAGTCTGGGTCAAACAAATAAGTCCTCCAAGTCGGGAGGCATTTGATCTCCTGGGACCCTTATAGACTCACAGACTTCAAAGCCAGAAGGGACCATCATGATCATCTAGTCTGACCTCCTGCACACTGCAGGCCACACACCCACTCCTGTAATAGACCCCTAACTTCTGGCTGAGTTACTGAAGTCCTCAAATAATGATTTAAAAGACTTCAAGTTAGAGTCTCCCACCATTTACACAAATTGAAACCTGCAAGTGAACCATGCCCCATGCAGCAGAGGAAGGTGAAACCCCTCCAAGGTCTCTGCCAATCTGACCCAGGGGAAATTCTGTGATCGACCCAGAAACCCGGATCTCTATCCTGCTCTGTCACTTCCATCTCATGAGACTTCATTTTGTAGCAGACATTTTTGTTGTTAGTCCCTAAATGTACGACTTGCATTTTGCGCTATTAAATTTCATCCCATTTTTATTACTCCGGTTTACAAAGTTGTCCAGATAATCTTGTATGATATTCCAGTTCTCCTCCATATTGGCAATACCTCTCAACTTTGTGTCATTCGCAAATTTTATTATCGCACACCCATTTTTTTGTGTGTGTGCCAAGGTCGGTAATAAAAAAGGTTAAATAAGATTGGTCCCAGGACCGATCCCTGAGGAACTCCGCTATTAACTTCCCTCCAGCCTGACAGTTCACCTTTCAATATGACCCATTGTAGTTTCCCCTTTAACCAGTTCCTTATCCACCTTTCAATTTTCATATTAATCCCCCTCTTCTCCAATGTAATTAATAATTGCCTAAGTGGAACTGTATCAAGTACCTTACTGAAATCCAGGTAGATTAGATGTACTGCATTTGCTTTGTCTAAAAAAATAGCTATCTTCTCAAATAAGGAGATCTGGTTGGTCTGGCATGACCTACCTTTTGTAAAACCATGTTGTATTTTGTCCCAGTTACCATTCACCCTATGTCCTTAACAACTACTTTCTCTTTAACATTTTGTTCCAAGACCTTGCTTACAATTTTTTTCCTTTCTTAAAAATAGGAGCTATATTAGCAATTCTCCAGTCATAGGGTATGACCCCTGAGTTTACAGATGCATTAAAAATCCTTGCTATTGGGCTTGCAATTTCATGTGCCAGTTCCTTTAATATTATTGAACGTGAATATAATGAATGCCCACCATCAGCCCCCAGCCAGAGACCCTGGCGCACGTTTACCTTCCCATATATGCACACCCTATTCATGGCCTCACAAGGTCATGGGACCCCCTCGTCAACCTCCTGCTAGCAATGGCCAAAATGGCCCTCTACAACACCAGGGAGAGGGGGTTCTCTGTGACTGTGGGTCCTATTTCTGATCCTCCCTCTGTTCATGCACCCGGGCAGAGTTCCTCTGGGCGGCGTCCACTGGCTCCCTTGACATCTTCGAGGAGCAGTGGGCGTTGTCTGGGATTCTCTGCTCGGTGTCCCCTTCAGGTTCCCTTTTTTTTGACCCTTTGACCTTCACACCTATCCCGGTTATATTTTCTGTTGTCCCCCGTAATTATTTGACTTCCCGGGCTCAGTGGATCCTCCCCATAGGCTGGGGGAGGGTCCTTTAGCTGTCGGCAGGCTTGCGCCTGCTAATCTCCACAGAACCCAATAGGGTCAGCCCCCTTTTCTATTATCTTGAGGTGGGATCCAACATCAGCACCTCATGGAGGGAGAGAGATGCTCTCTCCGGTGGACTGGTACCAGTCCATTTAGAACTTAGGTAAAAACTAATAACTTTAAATTTATCTGGGAAGGCCACAGGTAAGTAGGGCAGATCCCAGAGCACGGGTGCCACAGGTTTCATATAGGATTCATCAGTTTATAACTGGGCAGCTACCTTCTGCAGAAGTTCTGAACTGATTTAATATGTAGCCTTATATAGAGCACACTGCAATAGTCTTGGTGTTGAAGTAGCAAAAGCATGTTTGAGAGTAGCAAGATCTGCCTTTGAAAGGTGAGATACCTGAGAACATGCTCAGGACAAAGAGGGGTAAATGAAATACCTGGACCAATACATGAAAATAAAAATCTGAAGCAGACACATTCAACATCACACACCAGTGAAGTATTAGTTTAAAATAACTTTTTAAAAACAAAAATTTAAACTATGTCTTTAAATGATTTTTTTAAATTTACTTTCAATGCTTATGCCACGTGAAAACCCTGGGTAACTGAAGACCCATTCATCTGATCCTTCACCACGTTGCTGAAACAGCCAGTCAAGGTATCATTTAGTTCCACAAAAAGTATCAGTAACAGCATTCAGTCACCATAAGCCTGATCCTCAACAGAAAATTGGTGATGAAAGGCTCTGTATCTTGTTGCCAATCCCAGGAACCAAACCAATTCCCTTGTCTATGGGGAAAACATCAAAACTCCATAAGGTTTTAAAATGATGAACTATTGCCATAAGGCATAGAATTGCCCCATTCATTCTGCTCCAGTTCTTCTTAAACGGGAAACAGTCTGCTTTTAATATCTTCCATGATTCGTTTACTCTGTATTGTGTTTTCTGATTCCCCCCTTTTCATTGTTAACTTTGATACCCATAGGAACTTCGGTCTATTAGTGTGGAATCTTAAAGGATATGTTCTATTGTTCTGTAAATACAACAATACATTAGCATTGTGTTATTTTCTGATAAAGGGGCAACAATACCTCTTTGAATGTTATAACTATGAAAGATAAGACATCTCATTAGACAGGTACTATTGGAACTGGGAGCTTAATCTTGAAAGTGAATGAGTACCTGGATACTCCCATTGAAGTCAAAGAGAGCAGAAGCTACTAGTGCTTCTTAGGATCAGGTCCTGGATGAACAGTTGTAATGAAAAGGAGTGTAGTTATATTGGTCTATATAAAGCATTCCTAACCTGTTACTGCTTAGCTTTTCTCATTCTAACCCCAGCATCTCAAAACAGAGAGACCGGTCTTTGAAACATGCTTAATATCCTAAATGTTTTAATGCACTTTATCAACAGAATGTAGCATACAGTTCAACCCTGATAATCTAAAACGTTTTATTGATATGAGAATCATTGAGATAACCAAGATTTCATATAAACATGGTACTTCATATAGTTGCTTTGGGGATTTCATAACTTTTTTCCCATTAACTAAAGCAACATGGTATACACAAGTCGTTAGTCTAAATGGTTTATACATAAAATGTGACTGTCACCATGAGCAAAAATGATTTTGACACAAATTGAAAAGAAAGCTTCACAGGTATAATGGATCCTATTAGCTGAGATTACTATGGTGACTTCTTATATGCAAAGCCCCAATATACAGTAATTATTTCTCTGCAACAATAGCTACTCATTTAGTATTAAAATTAATAAGTTATTATTAATGGCTGCCATTGACTCTCTCATTCAGTGGTTTAGTTCATTTTGTAACCATGAGAGCGAGCAATTTTACATTTTAAAAAAAGGTTTTTGAGTAATTTACAAGCTCATTTTGGTATCCCATAATTTAATTTTAAATTATGACTGGTTAACATTAATTTTTTTTTTAATGCAGTCACCATGCTTTTAGAAAGACTTTGCTCTACCATTTGTCCTTGGGTCCCATCTTACTCACTTCATTTTACAAATATACAATTAAACAATAATTGGGGGGGTGGGAAGGGGGAGAGGGAGGGGAAGGGGAAATCCAGGTCAGAAAATAAAGATCAAGAGTGGTATAAGAAATTATAGTTATAGATACACATTGAATCAACCAAAGAGGAAGATTTATAGAACTAGACCTAACACTTTCGAATATCCACACCAAAAACAAATTAAAGCAAAGAAAAGAGCTTTCTAGCTACAGGAAGATCTTCCCTGTAGGTCATGCCACTTCCCCCTGTTTACATTTAACAAGTTATCTGCCACTTGGATCTCATCACTTTCCCTCTTTGGATCCCTCCAATTTCTCACCCACCAAATCAATATTTTAAAACCCATAACCTCACCCAATGAGACTCCACACGGCCCTGCCTACCATCCCAATCCCTCCCTGTTCTTGTTCCTTACGGTTTCCCACCTTGCTCTTTTTTGGTATGTCTACACAGCAAAGAAAAACCTGTGGCCGGCCTGTGCCAGATGGCTCGGGCAGTGGGGCTGTTTCATTGCTGTGTAGGCTTCCAGGCTTGGACCGCAGCCTGTGCTTTGGGGCCCTCCCACCCCGCAGGCTCCTAGAGTGTGGGCTCCACTCCAAGCCCAGAAATCTATGCAGCAATGAAACTGCCCCAGAGCTCGAGACCAGCTCGGCTGGCACGGGCCTGATGAGGGTTTTTCTTTGCTGTGTAGACACACCCTTTGAGCCTTAAAGCTTCTCTGTTTCCATCTTCCACTCTTGTCTTCATGCTTTCTTCCTTAACATATCATATGGCTGGAACACCCTTGCTGTGCCACAGTGTGGCATCCACCTTCATTTAAATTCCCCATAAATCCCTCTTCTTCTGCAAGGCCCATGAATACTAACCAACATCAGCAGCTACCAAAATTATTTAGCCAATATTATGTATATTAAGAGAATCCATACTTATGCTAAAGTGAACCACTTTTCCCAGAAATCTCTAAACTACAATAAATTAAAAACGGTGTGTAAGCTTTTGTTACTGGTGCACAGAGATAAAGTAATATTTTGCTGAGGTTTGTGAAAATAATAAGAAACTGATGTAATTGTTCCTAAAAACTCAGTACAAATGTCCAGTGATCTCGGATAGTGATGCAGATTGCATGGGAGTGGAAATATTAGCGTAAAAATGACACAAGCTGATTTTGGGCAGTTTGCGCTCATAGTAACAGCCTGAAATACATATATATACTCCTCAGCATTCAGTTGTATTTCTGGAGCAGTCCATGAAGTGGTAAAGTATTTAACTCTTACCTTTCTGTATTGTGGTAACTGAGCTTTGACTAACCACTGGACTAAAGTTTATAAGGGGGAGCATCAGCTGCACTTCCTCCGTCTCTTTCCTCCTCTGGCTGTTTTACGAATGACTGAAAATATTTGTGGCAAAGTCTCAAATAGTTCTGGTTTGACTGAAACTGTGTTTTTTGCTGAATAAACTATTTGTCCAAAAAATGTTGCCTGACACCCAGTACTGACACCCAGCACCCTTTGCTAACTACTAGACCACACTGATGTGGTTTCTTTTTGTCATACACCAAACCATCATAACAGTAGAATGGCTGCCAAAGACCTATGAGCTAAGCCACAAGTCCTGAGACCTGATTTGCAGAGTTGGACCTTTGCACCCAAACTTTAAAAAAAAAGTAATTCCAAAAACAAACAGTTTTAATACCAAGGCATTCTTTAAAATAGGTTTATTTCATCAACACTGAAAGGTCATACCTGCTTTTCAATGAATGCATTCATCCTTTGTAGCATCCCCTCACATGTAAATTCATAGGGCAAATAAGGTTCAATCTGTTGAAACAGTACAGTGTGTTTAGATTAGAATTTTTACGGAATCATTTTACTGCAAGCGTCCCTGTGGTGTGCTTTTGTAGTAAACGTAATCATTAACAAATCACTGTTTTATGCAGCCCCCAGATTAAACTGATTTTTGCTCCCTCAAAGGCAATTCTGAAATTAATCAGTGATTGTCTTTGAGGAGATGTTAAATGAGGGAAATTAAGAGTTTACTGAGCAGTGGCAGAAATAAATGTAGCACAAGACTCTACTGTCTCATAGCTGCCTGTTTGTAATTCTGTTTAATTTCCAAATTCAAATAGTCCAAAGGAAAATATGATTCTATAATTAGATGCTCTTTGAAAATGTTTTCAGACTGCCTTTTGATTTTTTAAATCCTTACATTAAAAGCTCATAATGTAAATGCAGAAATATCTTCACAGCTTTCCTGTCATAGCTAAATAATGGGTTCAACTGAACTAAGAATAGGGCAACTGATTTACTAAATGCACAGAAAACTTACAAAGACTCAATAACAAATCTAGTAACTTGGACTCTGTGACTCACATGCTAAAGCTACACTCCTTTATGCTTACACACATGCTTAGTTTTATTCATGTGAGTAAAGTTAAGCACGTGTGTAAGCATTTGCAGGATCTGGTACTAAACTCTGATGCTCAGATACCACATATACATCACCTAGTGATGGGTGTGGCATAAGACCCCAAAAGGACAGAACCTTCCAGTCTGTGGCACTCAATTCTCTTAATGAAATTAAGATTTTGAGGCACTCTGCACAGCAGTAGCTCAGACAACAAGTACTGATTACGAACAGAATAAATATTAACCTTTTGATTCAAAATTGCTTTCACTGCTTTCTCGACCTCAGAAGGATCATTGATGTTCACAGTCCAGACATGAGGCTTCCCAATGTAAACCTCAGCATAGGGATGCTGAGACGTCAACTGAAAGAGAAAATCAATATACTGGTAAAAATCAAGGGTCAAAATATCTTTCCTGGCCCCCTTCACTTGGTTTGGGTCTCAGGATATAATACACATAGATAATGCAATAACAGAGCTGGAATATAAAAACAACTTAATTTCTCTTTTACCTCTGTTTTAGGTGCTCTATATTTTCCCCATTAAATCTTGTGGGTGAACTTGGTGCATATATGAAATGCACTGGATTGATAAGTATGGGGACCAATGACCTCTAATTTATCCACACAACAGGTAACAGCAGTGGAAGCTTCCGTCTTGCTTTATGTACCAACCTCTCCCATTTTCTCTCTATACTCTGCTCTCTGGGTGATTCCATCTACTTCTTTGAAATCAGCTAACACATCCAGACGAACTACTCCCAAATCTCCTTTTCTATCCAGAGCCTTCCATCCTCTATCCATTCCTGCATCTCTCCCCATCTCAGGCATCTCTTGAAAATCTTTCCATCCCTTCAAGATGAAATGTCAATACCTTTCAATCCAAACCGTCTCTTCTCCCTTTTTCTCTCACACGAACGTGAGAAATTTGCGATGATTACTGTGCACATTTGATTCGGATCTTCTATTCTCAGACTCCTAGCAAGGTTACCAATTAGTGCTTATTACAATATCAACGATATTATTGCCATGCAGATATGTATCCTCTGGAAACTGGACTATCGAACTCATTTTACAACCCTCACATATAACCATTGTCCTGGGAAAAGGTAAAATATCTTCGCTTGGACCAACCCCCAATTGGTGGTCCAGTCATCATCTTCATTCCTTTGCAATTTGTGAACCTGATGCTATGTTATCTGTGTCGTTGTTTTAGCTTTCCTGCTTGGTTTTTGATAACCTGTTTACAGCCTCATTTGATTTAACTCCACGTATTCAGGCAGGCAGAAATACAAAATTGAACAGGGAAACAGAGTCACACATAATATTCAGAAAAAAATAAAGACATTTTTCCCAGTTCATCACATCTACTAGCCTTTGGCAGTCTGAAACCATGACCTAGAAGTGAAAGGCTCTATATATGATTAATTGTTCCCCATGGCATCCAATCCTCCATGTTCAAAAGTTCTTAAACCACGTATGATTACAGATTATCAGTTCATACTCAAACTTACTTATCTTAGCCTCAGATATGTAAGTAAAATTAGGGACTATCTAAAAAGATGCAATTAGGGTTATTTCTTTTATTTCTTATTGGCTTGTGCACTCCTCTGGGCTAATCCCAGATGCTTTTGTTTGCTTGTAACTTTTAAGCTGAACCCCCAAAAAAGCTATTTTGGGTGCTTAATTTTTGGAATTGCTCTTTTAAAATCTAGCAAAAGCCTAAATTCCAGATGTATTTTCTTTCTTTTTGTTTTTAATAAAATTTAATCTTTTTTAAGAAAAGGATTGGATTTTTGGTGTCCTAAGAGGTTTGTGTATATGCTGTTTGATTAGCTGATGGCAACAGCTAATTTCCTTTTTTTTCTTTCTCAGCTCTTCCCCGGTGGGGGTGGGGGGAGGTGAAAGGGCTTGAGGGTACCCCAGAGGGAGGAATTCCTAAGTGTTCCTTCCTGGCTTCAAGGGTTCTTTTTTTTGGCATTTGGGTGGTGGCAGCATTTACCAAGTCAAGGGCAGAGAAAAGCTGTAACCTTGGGAGTTTAATACAAGCCTGGAGGGGCAAGTATTAATTTTAAAAATCCTTGTGGGCCCCCACCTTCTGCACTCAGAGTGACAGCGTGGGGATTCAGCCTTGACACCCACAGATTACATTTTCTGTCTATATCAGCTGTATCCTAGTGAACCATGCTCCCCCCGTCATCATCTTTTCAATTTCTCCTGAAAACCCAATCCTTCCATGAAATCTGCATATGCCAGCTGACCTCAGTATCATACCATTACCACTACTGTTTAAAAGTGATATATATTTAAATTTTAGATTGTATAAGCTACTGGGGGCAGGGAATATGCCTTTATTGATAAGTTGAGTGGCAATGGACATAATGTTAGCACTTAAGAAATATTATTATTTGCATTACTTTTCAAAATGTGATTTTTTTCCCCCCAAGCATGTAAATATAATGATTAAACTTCACACAGCTTAAGCTCTTCTATTTTTTAATTGCCATTGCCTCTATTTTATTATTGTTTTCTTTGTTAATAAAGTCAAACTTAGGAAAGGGGTGAATTTGGACTACTATATCCATTGTATTTGTAGAGCAGATTGAGAACAGTGCACAAAACTTTTTGGCACAGGCAACCTATGTTATTTAATTAAAATGAGAAATCGTAGAAATGCATCGCTCATCAACCAATTGGCATGAGTTTAATGTGCAGTTCATCTAGCTGAACCACCATTTGCAAGCAGACCAATGCTATCATGCAAGCTGTTCCTTATCTTCATATTCCCTTTTACATATGCAAGATCATTCTCCATTTGATTAACATACACAGTACTTATTCAAAAACAAATTCAAAGTTGCAAGCAATAGTGTGTGTTAACTAATGTCAGGACAAGAAAAAAATTACTAGATAAATGCTAAATGTTTTCAGTATGTTATAGGCCTAACTTTACCCATACACAGATATGCTGCAATAAAATGCAAAACACAATGAACAACAATATTCAGTAAATCCTTGCATGGGAGGCCAGTTTGTTTGATCTTCTCCTTTTCCCTTCAGAGTACAAAATATTCTGGATGCTTTGGAGACTTGTAGTTTGCTTTTCCTGTTCACTCTTCAAAAATTGGTTTCGCTCTTCAAGTGTCTTTACATTCAAATACACACAGTTCATTGCTAGTGTTACTATTATGGCTAAACAGAATCTTAACAAAAACTTCTCTGCAAAAATAGTAAGTACAACATTCATATTTATTTGAACAAGAATGCACTTATTGCTCAGTGATGCTCATTCCCTTAATGGAAGTCACGGAGATCTCAACTGAGGTTTCCCCTGGATAGAAAACCAGATCTTGAAGTGAAACTTGTATATATGGTCTGTCAAAAATAATTAGAAGAATGTAGATATACATGGACACAGAGTTATAGCTTAGAAGTACTTCATGGGTTTCATTATTTTATTATCATAGTGCCTAGTTATAACATAATTGTCTTACACAGGACTAATTATACCAATTCTGGTCACTGCTGTATCAGGCAAAAGGACAAACTGCTCTGTCTGCAGTAAATTATGCACCTTAGTTTGACATTCTGTTTTTTACTGTAATATTACAAAGCAAGCAGTTATTTGCAATAAAATGTTTGTTGTTGTACAATCCTCAAACAGAGAACCATTATAGTACAAACAGTATCATCAACTCAGACGTATCACAGCCCCAGTACTTTGCAATGTCTGAAACATCAGTGTTAGTAAAGCTTACCTCTCGGAGTGTAGGCTTGCCTTTAAAAAAGTCTGTATTTTTGCTGCTTTTCGGTGGGTTAAATTTTAGATTTAGAAAAGCACATCCATTAGCAATAGCCTCTAGGGGAGCAGGCCCTTCATATGGAAATCCAAGTCCAACAAACAACTGCAAAATAGAAAAGATACATCACCTAGCACCCCTTAATTTTGTTTCCCTTTAGAAGACAATAAAAACTCAGAGTTAAGCTAAAATGAACAATGATAAAGATTTTAAGTTTACAAGCCTACAAAATATGTCCACATAACAGTTTTGAAAGGAAATGCGTAATATTCCTGACAGAACTTTTAAATAAAGTTTCATACTAAATGTTGCTAAGGATTTGGCTGTTCTCTCTCCCTCTCTGCAAAACAAAGAGAGTAATGAAATGTCCTGGAAAACACGTCTAACAATAATCTTCCTGTGAGGGGCTGGAAAGGAAACTATGCCAATCCACTCTAACTTAAACAGACGGTTTTTCATGAAACTGATGGAACAACAGTCCCTTTCAGTTTATGTTTTGGGGAAAAAGACATTCGGTGGTTTGATTACAGTTCAAACAAAACTGCTAGAGTTCTCTGGTAGACCAGCAGGTACAGGTTTTACAACAGTTACATCACTGACTAGCTATGCCACTTTATTTTTTTCCTCTGACTAGCTTAGTAGTTTTTGCCAATATAAAAACACTCAGGCCAAATTGCACAAGCCTTCTGACAAAAACACAGTAGATGGCAGCAAACTTCAGTTAAAGACCCACTACTCAGCAACAGCACTGCAGTGACAAGCCAACAATTCAATTCCACCATTCTAAACTGAAGGGGGAAAGGTATCAGTGCTTACTCTTACTGCCAGCATGTAGTACGTGTTATAATAAAGACAATTATTGGGCAACAGGAAATCCAACTGAAAAATATTTAATGTTTTGTCACAAAGAATTCACACCCTTGTGCAACAGCTATTTAGAAGCACCCTCTTTCCCGGCCCTGACACCTGAGAAAATTGAATTAAATAATGTGTCTTTTTATTTTCTTTCATTTAAAATTAGCATACAATGGGGTGGTTAAAAAGTTCTGAGTTACAGCGAGCACAAATCTCTAAACAACACCGTTGAATAGTTCCAGGCATACGCTAGTTTCAACTACTGCCTACTAGATCTAAAGTCTCATGCATTCATGACATGACATTCAATTATGCATTCAAGACATGACAAGGAAGGACAGGCAGGGCAGAAAAGGTGGGGGAGTTGCATTGTACCTAAGAGAGCAGTATGACTGCTCAGAGCTCCAGTATGAAACTGCAGAGAAACCTGAGTGTCTCTGGATTAAGTTTAGAAGTGTGAGCAACAAGGGTGATGTCATGGTGGAAGTCTGCTATAGACCACCGGATCAGGGGGTGAGGTGGATGAGGCTTTCTTCTGGCAACTCACGGAAGTTACTAGATCGCAGGCCCTGGTTCTCATGGGAGACTTTAATCATCCCGATATCTGCTGGGAGAGCAATACAGCGGTGCACAGACAATCCAGAAAGTTTTTGGAAAGTGTAGGGGACAATTTCCTGGTGCAAGTGCCAGAGGAACCAACTAAGGGCAGAGCTCTTCTTGAGCTGCTGCTCACAAACCAAGAAGAATGAATAGGGGAAGCAAAAGTGGATGGGAACCTGGGAGGCAGTGACCATGAGATGGTCAAGTTCAGGACCCTGACACAGGGAAGAAAGGAGAGCAGCAGAATACAGACCCTGGACTTCAGAAAAGCAGACTTTGACTCCCTCAGGGAACTGATGGGCAGGATCCCCTGGGAGAATAACATGAGGGGGAAAGGAGTCCAGGAAAGCGGGCTGTATTTTAAAGAATCCTTATTGAGGTTACAGGGACAAACCATCCCGATGTGTAGAAAGAATAGTAAATATGGCAGGCGACCAGCTTGGCTTAACAGTGAAATCCTTGCTGATCTTAAACACAAAAAAGAAGCCTACAAGAAGTGAAAGACTGGACAAATGACCAGGGAAGAGTATAAAAATATTGCTCGGGCATGCAGGAGTGAAATCAGGAAGGCCAAATCACATCTAGAGTTGCAGCTAGCAAGAGATGTTAAGAGGAACAAGAAGGGTTTCTTGAGGTATGTTAGCAACAAGAAGAAAGTCAAGGAAAGTGTGGGCCCCTTACTGAATGAGGGAGGCACCCTAGTGACAGAGGATGTGGAAAAAGCTAATGTACGCAATGCTTTTTTTGCCTCTGTCTTCACGAACAGGTCAGCTCCGAGACTGCTGCACTGGGCAGCACAGCATGGGGAGGAGGTGACCAGCCCTCTGTGGAGAAAGAAGTGGTTAGGGATGATTTAGAAAAGCTGGATGAGCACAAGTCCATGGGGCCAGATGCGCTGCATCCGAGAGTGCTAAAGGAGTTGGCAGATGTGATTGCAGAGCCATTGGCCATTATCTTTGAAAACTCATGGCGATCGGGGGAGGTCCCGGACAACTGGAAAAAGGCTAATGTAGTGCCCATCTTTAAAAAAGGGAAGGAGGAGGATCCTGGGAACTACAGGCCAGTCAGCCTCACCTCAGTCCCTGGAAAAATCATGGAGCAGGTCCTCAAGGAATCAATTCTGAAGCACTTAGAGGAGAGGAAAGTGATCAGGAACAGTCAGCATGGATTCACCAAGGGCAAGTCATGCCTGACTAATCTAATTGCCTTCTAGATGAGATAACTGGCTCTGTGGATGAAGGGAAAGCAGTGGACGTGTTGTTCCTTGACTTTAGCAAAGCTTTTGACATGGTCTCCCACAGTATTCTTGCCAGTAAGTTAAAGAAGTATGGGCTGGATGAATGGACGACAAGGTGGCTAGAAAGCTGGCTAGATAGTTGGGCTCAACGGGTAGTGATCAATGGCTCCATGTCTAGTTGGCAGCTGGTATCAAGTGGAGTGCCCCAAGGGTCGGTCCTCGGGCCGGTTTTGCTCAATATCTTCATTAATGATCTGGAGGATGGGGTGGATTGCACCCTCAGCAAGTTTGCAGGTGATGCTAAAGTGGGAGGAGAGGTAGATACGTTGGAGGGTAGGGATAGGATACAGAAGGCCCTAGACAAATTAGAGGATTGGGCCAAAAGAAATCTGATGAGGTTCAACAAGGACAAGTGCAGAGTCCTGTACTTAGGATGGAAGAATCCCATGCACCGCTACAGACTAGGGACCGAATGGCTAGGCAGCAGTTCTGCGGAAAAGGACCTCGGGGTGACAGTGGATGAGAAGCTGGATATGAGTCAGCAGTGTGCCCTTGTTGCCAAGAAGGCCAATGGCATTTTGGGATGTATAAGATGGGGCATTGCCAGCAGATCGAGGGACGTGATCGTTCCCCTCTATTTGACATTGGTGAGGCCTCATCTGGAGTACTGTGTCCAGTTTTGGGCCCCACACTACAAGAAGGATGTGGATAAATTGGAAAACGTCTAGCGGAGAGCAACAAAAATGATTGGGGACTGGAAAACATGACTTATGAGGAGAGGCTGAGGGAACTGGGATTGTTTAGTCTGCGGAAGAGAAGAATGAGGGGGGATTTGATAGCTGCTTTCAACTACCTGAAAGGGGGTTCCAAAGAGGATGGATCTAGACTGTTCTCAGTGGTAGCAGACGACAGAACAAGGAGTAATGGTCTCAAGCTGCAGTGGGAGAGGTTTAGGGGCTGGATATTAGGAAAAACTTTTTCACTAGGAGGGTGGTGAAACACTGGAATGTGTTACCTAGGGAGGTGGTGGAATCTCCTTCCTTAGAAGCTTTTAAGGTCAGGCTTGACAAAGCCCTGGCTGGGATGATTTAGTTGGGGATTGGTCCTGCTTTGAGCAGGGGGTTGGACTAGATGACCTCCTGAGGTCCCTTCCAACCCTGATATTCTATGATTCTATCTCTCTTTAGCAAACTAAGATACTCTCCATTAAAACTTTTACTTCAAGGGAAAATGAACTCGAATTAAAAAAATCCTAAGTGACTATAGTAAGAAGTCTATTTCAGGCTACAGATAAAAACAGTTTAATTTAATTTGAAGCATAAATTTGTAATATCGGCCCTGTTGTAGATAGGTATTGCAGCATTAGGCCTTTAATCCTCTCTAGCCCCTGGCATTAGCAGTTTAACATTTTGAGCTGACTGGCTCTAAAAAAAGAAATTCACAGAACAGCTTGAAATGTTAATGTCCCTCCCCAACTCTGAGAATACTGAATCTCTGTGCAATCATAGAATCACAGGGTTAGAAAGGACTGCAAGGGTCATCTAGTCTAACCCCCTGCCAAGATGAAGTATTTGTTATGTCTAAATCATCCAAGGCAGATGGCTTTCCAGCCTCCTTTTGAAAACCTCCAGTGAAGAAGCTTCCACAACCTCCGAAGGCAATCTGTTCCATTTTCTTGCTGTTCTTACAGTTAGGAAGTTTTCCCTAAAATTTAATCTAAATCTGCTATGCTATAGTTTGAACCGATTGCCTCTTCTCCTGCCCTCTGTGGCAAAAGAATAACTTTTCTCCATCTTTTTTATGGCAGCCATTCTGAAGACGGCTATCATATTCCCCTCTGAATCGCCTCTTTTCCAAACTAAACATACCCATTTCCTTCAGCCTTTGCTCATATGGCTTGCATTCCACCCCTTTGATCATCTTTGTCACTCACCTCTGGATCCTTTCCAGTTTCTCTACATCCTTTCTATACATTGGTGACCAAAGTTAGACACAGTACTCCATCTGAGGCCTAACCAGCACTGAGTAGAGCAGTACTATTACCTCCTGTGATTTGCATGCTATGCCTCTGTTTATACAACCTAAAATTGAATTTGCTTTGTTTGTTACAGCATCGCATTGCTGACTCATGCTGAGGTTGTGATACACCACAACTCCCAGATCCTTCTCAGAAGTGCTGCTGCCAAGCCAGTTTTCCCCCGTTCTGTATTTGTGCAATAAAAGTTAAATGTTGATATTAGAAATAGCAGCAAATTTCTCCTTCAAAATAGCAAGTGCACTGCAAGCAGCTCCTTCTAAGACATGTCAAGCAAACAAATATTTGAAGGAAACTTTTTTGATTACAAAAAAAAGTGTTATGGGGAAACTGTAAAAATGGAAATAATTCTCAACAAAAACTAGGCTATACAATTTT